GTGCTCTTTTAAGAAGATATTTCAAAGAAGAAACTTCGGAATCTGAGTTACTAACATCCCAAAAGGTGGCAATAGGGATTTAAACTTTGTTTTTACAATCACTGGTCTATCACAAATCTTTATGTACCGATCTATAAGGATGGTCGATCTTTATACTGAAATAATAAAGAAATTATTAACTTTTTTTTTCAATAAGGACTAAAATCAATCTCTTTGCCAGCTTTCTTTCTCTTTCTGTTGCTAGCAATCCTCCCCACCCCGCTGGAGCTCCCTTTCCACAAACTACCAAGGAGCCCAGTAGACCAGGAGGCAATGTAAATTATGCAGTTTACCTTCACCAGCTCCTCTGTCTTTTAGAATTTGTTCCTTTAACTTCAAGTGGTTCCTGAGAGCCCCAGACAAACACTGGGATATGAACATCAGGCCTCAGGACTGGAAACACCTGTAAAAATGTCTACCTTCAACCTTGCCTGAACCAAAATAGATATAGCATTCCTGTACACAATACCTGGTGAACTTGGCTGCCATTACCTTTTTCTCTTTATCCCCTTTAAATTCATCTAGTCAGAGCCACTCGACCACAGACCACAGTGCGGCTGGCACACTTCCTTTTTTTTGAGACAAAGCCTCAGTCTGTTGCCCCAGGCTAGAGTGCCTTGTTACAAGTCTAGTTCACAGCAATCTCAAACTCCTGGGCTCAAGCCCTGCTCCTGCCTCAGGTTCCCCAGTAGCTGGGCCTTCCAGGCCATAGAAATCCACAACATCCAGCCAATTTTGCTATTTTTAGTAGGGACAGTGTCTTGTTCTTGCTTAGGCTGGTCTTGAACCTAAGTGACGCTCCTGCCTCAGCCTCCCCAGAGCTAGGATGACAGGGGTGAGCCACTGTGTGGATCAGGGGAATCATCCTTTTTTTCTTTGGGAAGCCACATCATCTCCCTGCTCCCTTCTCTTTCTCTCTTTCCCCATGCTCTTCCCCCTCTCACTCCCTCTCTTGTTCTAAAAGACAAAATAGACTTATACTTTTATATCCCAATCTTGGCCTAAAGAAATTCTTTTCTCATCCCACATGGAGTACTTACTGAGCTTTCCACCCTATCACCATTAGCAGAGGAAAAATCAGCCATTGGTGTCTCATTGGTACAATCTGTTGACATAAATATTTTAGGTGTCTTTTTTAATTTGATGTTACACATCTGTGGCATTTGACATAAGGAATTAGGCTCATGAAAGCCTAGTTCCTGTTGATACAAACAGAAAAGCAGTTTGACACTGACTACCACGAGGTAACTAAAATGCAGACTGAGGGAGGGAAATGCTAGGAAAACATCTTTTTAATGTCAAAGCAGAGTGAAGAAAAGACTAAGTTTGCAATAATTATTTAAGACATGGTGGAGACTTCTTTAGAACCCAACTATTTATCTCTAAGTCAATATGATTTTAAAATTAAAATGGGATCATTTTGAAATAACTCATTTCATCCCAGTTAATAGTTAATTTGAACATAAAATTTAAATAGCCCCAGGGAGAGGGGGGGAACAGATTTACCAACAGTTCTGGCTACTGACAGGTGGTACCAAGATAAAATGTAGAACTGGGCGTAATTTTTTTCTCCCTAAAATAGTTTTGCAACTTGAGCTGCATTCCACTTAGAAAGTGGCTGTGAATTCCATTAAAGTACACATTCAGGCTGAAGTTTTCTGCCTCTTAGGCCCAAGGTCTACCAATCCCTGGGCAAACCTATCACTCTTCAACACAAGAGGGTCTATCAGAGCAGCTTGTGGTGATATATAAAAACCAGAGATCACCATGTCTTAGGGAGGTGATGAGCTGACAGACTGACAGAAACCATGAACTCCACATTTCCATCCAAGTTTTCCTGTAAAGCCACTGGGTGAGAAGAGAGGCCCACCCCTACATAGGGAGCAGGCAGAGCAGGAAAGATAGAAAAAGACAAGGTTGAAAAGAACGGAGAAAGACGTTGTGGTTTTTTTAGAATCCTAAAACTTAAAGTAATGACTGTAACCTAAATATGCAGCCATGTGATATGGCTGTGTAAATTTCTGTGGCACTGAAATGTTACAACAGGAATAGCTTCTGAATTAAAAAAAAAAAAAATTACAAGGAGAAAAGATCACGAGCAGGACAGTCATTTAGGTTTAAAAAATCAAGGATCTGAAATTTCACAATGCTTCGGGCCTTCATGCAGCCCACCACGCCTGCATACCAGCCGCTTCCTAGTCACCTGTCTACGGAAACAGAGGTCAAGTTTAAGGGTACTTTGGTGCATGAAGCTCAACTCAACTGTTTCTACATTTCTCCGGGAGGTAAGAAACCCTAAAGTAGAAAAGAGAATAGCACTCCAGCCCTAGAAAGTGAGACCCTGTCTCAAAAAATAAAAATTTTTAAGAAAAGGAATAAGAAAAACATGTTGAAATTTACTATAAATAATCCAGTGATGTCTGTGACACCCTCACCCCAAGGACTCATTTGTTCGTATTTAATCAGGATTTTCAATGGCACAGTTGAGAAGTTTTGTCTAAAACCACACTACCCTGCTTTATGCCATTCTTTGGAAATTCTCAGTTGAAAAAAAGCAATGTTTGATGCCATGGGCAATGCAAATAAAACACTGGTTTTTTACTTTCCTTTTAATTCTGTGAGAAAGATCAAGGAAATTAAAACTTCCCTAATAGATTTTTATGTCTGAATTTTATAGATACAGACAAGGTAGAGAGCAAACTGATGATATTTGATAATGCTATTTCTTTTTTAATTTCTTCAGTGAAAAAACTGAAAGCTGGTCAAATTTTAGGAGGCTAGTTAAGGGGCCATTAGAGGCAATATGTAATGTCACTGACGGGTACCTTTTCATTGGGAACTCTTGGATTCTTATTACTTACATTTTAATGTTCCTTAGGGATTCGCCCCATCTTCTGTGTTCCTAATAAACATTCCTGTTTGATCTGTTCTTAGGATATTTGCCATTTGTTCTATCTTTTACCCAAATATCTTCCAATTCCAAATTATGAATGATAGCTTGTAATCATTTAAATAGGATTGTGCTAATATTTGTACAAATTTTAAAAAGAGTACATACTATATATCCATATGATTAGTAAATGGATAATAAACACACAATTACATGGGTTAAGTTTCATAGGCGGGACATCTGATTTGATGCCTTCTTTCTTTCTGACATAATTTCACTAATTCCTCCCTTCAAAATATTTTTCTTAGTCTTCAGAAAGGAAAGCACTCAAAGTTCCCTCTTTTCACTAGGAAAGCCATGGTGGTATTCAGTTCCACACATCTCTTCGGGGTAGGTTGAAAGATAAAACTAAAAATGTTAAAATTCCTACAAACTCCTTTCTTTCATGAAGCCTTTTTTCAAAGGAAAATGGAATAATCATCTCGATGTAAGATGAAGAACGTCTAACCATCTGTTTGATGTAAATCCTTGTTTTTGAGAATCTGTTCAAATCTGATACCTCTTGATTTATTGTACTATTTACCTAGTTTAAGCTTTAATGAGTTTGACCATACTGATGATGAGCAGTTATTGGCGTCTGGGTAGTTAAGTATGCGCACACAATTACTACTTCCCCAAGAGATCACAAGATACTTAAAAAATCAGAAAGAGCAATTTCTAAGATAAAATTTTAGAGCCAGAGGCCAGCTAAGAAGGGTGCAGTTCAGTAACCTACTTCACTAATGAGGAATCTGTGGTCTAACGGGACGAAGTGAGTTAGCCAAAGTCATTTTCCTGGTTTCATCTGTTTTCTCTAAAAGATGCCCTTCCTCCGGCCCTACAAATGAAAGCAATAAAGTATTCAAAAATATCTTTATATAGTCGATTTCCAGGCTTGATTAGAAGGATTGGAATTAGTCGTTTAAAACCCAGGTTCATGTGAACTCTCAAAAGGAAA